TACCTCTCTGACCAAGGATGCAGGAGGGGAAAGTCGTGCACGTTCTCACACGAACAGAAGGATGAAAAGAAGCGGTGCTGGATTTGCGGATCACCAGAGCATTTCGCGCCGGCCTGCACAAGACCAAAGGAAGCCAAAGAAGGTTCGCCCCGGCCCAAGATCTCGAAGGCAGAGAAGGAGAAGGTCGGAAAGAACAAGAGTGAAGATGAGGAAGGTGAAGAAGTACAGCCCTCCATAAAGGAGTTGCTGAAGGAAGCCAATGACATGCTGAAGGGCATGAATGGAGGACCAAGTCCAAGTTCCTCCAATACGTCTCCATCATCAAAAGGTGGGGATACGTCAGAAAGATCCGAAGTGGTGGAACGTCTCCAGCAGCAGCTCAACGCCTTGAAGCAGAAGACCTTCAAACTGAGGCGACTCAAGAAAGGTGAACGACAAGGTCTTCTTGACTCTGGAGCCACTCATCCACTTCGACCTGTGAAGAAAGGTGAAGATGTTGAAAGTTACAAGAGGGTTCAGGTAGCCCTAGCAGATGGACAAATCACCAGTCTCCCTATCTCTCCAGGGGGAGCCATGGTCTCAGTTGACGCCGACATCGAGCCGATCATCCCAATGGGGCTCCTGACTGAAAAGCTGGGATGTTCCGTGATTTGGTCAAGAAGTCAACTCAGGGTAGTCCACCCCTTGCGAGGAGAGCTGCCTGTTGAAGATCAAGATGGATGCCCTCAGCTGCCACGACAAGTGGCCCTGGACCTCATTGAGGAGCTCGAGAAGGTGAAGAAAGGAATGAAGTTGAAGGAGGAGAATGATTTTGAATGGGAGATCAAGTGGATGGAAGACTATGTGAACGCCCATCCCGTCTTGAGCAGACTCCCCAAGGAAGTGAAAGAATCGCTGGTGGTCAAGCCGGGTGAATGGTCAGATCTCCCAGCCAACAGAAGAAAGCGAAAGGCCATGAAACGAGATGGCTATGTATGCCACTTGTACGCAGGAGCTGACGAAGGATTCACCTTTGAAAGAGCCTGGAAGCAGAAAGGAGGTGAAGAACGAGAGCTCCTGGAGGTGGACATCAAAAGAGGCCCAGGCCATGACATGCTCCTGGACCGAGGACCCTATGCGGGACTAGTGAGGTCCGTGTGGGAAGGGAAGCTTCTTGCCTTGCTAGGAGGCCCAAACTGCAGGACACGAAGTGTCATGAGGCACAAGCAGGTCGATTGGACCACTGCAAGACCCATCCGAAAGTGGGGCGGCGAAGAATTTGGGGTGAAGGACGCTTCAAGTGATGAGCGCCGCAAGCTGTTTGAAGATGATGTTTTGCTTTGGAGGATGATCTTCCTGGCCATGCTCGACAGCTCCCTCAAGAAGGCAAGAGAAGAAACTGAAGTCATGGGCTTTGGCATTGAGCAGCCAGCTAGCCCGAAGGACTACAACCCTGAAGTGGTGTCGTTCTGGGACACTGCTGAATGGAAAGATCTTCAAAAGGAATTTGGGTGGAAGGAGGTCACGTTCTTCCAGAAGCCGCTCGGTGGTGCTGCAAAGAAGCCAACAACAGTCGCTGGAACCCTTGAGCTGATCCCTGAGGAATTTTCCACCAAGACTGTCAGCCATGCTCTGGTTCGAGGATCCTGGGAACTGGCACGGTGGCCTCCGGGGATGATGACTATGTTGGCAGAAGCAGTGATGACCCAAGTGATGAAGAAAAAGGCCAAAGCATGTGTTCTTTCGTGGTCTGAACACATTGCCCTGGGCCATACACCAAGCAGGAGAGACTGCAGAATCTGCCAAGAAGCGAGACAACAGCGTTCACCCCATCGCCAAGTTCAACACAAGCTTGCTGGAGTTCTCTCCCTCGACACGGCTGGCCCGTTGAAGCCCGCCTATGATCTAGGAGGATTCCAGTCAAGATACTTCCTAGCAGGGACACTCACTTGGGCGGTTCCATGCACGGTGGATGTCAAGGGACAGGGGGAGGAACAGCTGTCTGAAGAAGGTCAAGAAGAATGGCCGCCAATTGAAGAAGATTTAAAGGACGATGAAGAAGGAGAAGATAAGGCTGAGGGGGAGGAAGGAGATGAAGTCCTACGTGGCCTCACTGACGCTGAAGAAGAAGCAGGTGAAGATCTGTTGGAACAGATTCATCGAGATGAAGAAGAAAGAGATGATGAACTTGGAAAGGCAGAAGAAAAGCCACCAAAGGACTTCAAGATCGAGACCTTCAGGTTAGCATTGCCTATGCATTCAAAGAAGGCCAAAGATGTCACAAGGACGACAATGGACATGCTGCTGAGATTGAGGATGGACGGATACTCCGTCGCTCAGATACACACTGATCAAGGCCATGAATATGCAGGCCATTTCCATGGCTGGACAAGGCGGCGGGGAATCATCCTAACCAAAACTGCAGGGGACGAACCCCAGTCCAACGGACGTGCAGAGGCAGCAGTAAAAGCACTGAAGTCGATGGTGCGGAAGGCCTTACACCAGGCCAAAGAAACTTCGAAGTGGTGGCCATGGGCTCTAAGGCACTGCAACGAGGTTCTCAGAGCGAAAAGGCTCTACCAAGTTCCCAACTTCCCGCCCTTCCTGACGGAGGTTATGGTAAGGAGAAGGAGATGGAAGCGTGATGACCTGGGCCCAACAAGTGAACGGGCGAGGTATCTCTGTCCGTCCCCTGAGAACCACGGACACTGGATTGTGAGGGACGATGAAAGACCAAGGCTCACAAGATGCTATATGAGGAGGTTGGAAGATCCACCAACAGAGGGACATTGGATCGCCCTGGAAAAGGAACTTTTGGATGGGCTATCTCTCAGGAGGAGGATCCGAGGGAAGACCGCAGTCAAAAAGATCCAGAAGGAACAGGGGGAGGTTGAGGAGAAGGAAGAAGAAGCGAAGAGAAGGATGCGAAAGGTCCTAGAAGAAGAAGCCCTCTTGTCAATGGAGGATTCACCTCAACTGGCGGTCATCAATGCTCAGCTGATTGCTTGCCTCAGGAGATCTATGGTGGCTGCAGAGGTGGAAGAAGAAGAGGTGCTACAAACAAGGATCGTGTCAGCCAAGGAGGTGGCTCAGAACTGGGAAGCATGGAAGCCAGCAGCAGGTGAAGAAGTCATCTCACTTGTCGAAGAAAAGCTGGCCTTGCAGCCGATTCCCAAGAAAGAAATGAAGGAACTCATCGAAGATGCTGAAAAGAGGGGGATTCGAATAGAGTTGATTCCATCCAAGCTCGTGTTCACAAGAAAGCCTGGGAAGAAAGGAGGAAAGAAGAAGGTCCGCTGGGTAGTCTGCGGCAACTTCGAAAGCAAGGATCCCAATGAAGACAACTTCTCAGGTGGGGCTGACTCTGCTGCCCTTCGCATCATGATTTGGGTTGCTTCAGTCCATCAATGGGAAGGAAGTGTCCTGGACGTCAAGACCGCCTTCTTGAATGCCGAGATGGAACAGAAAGAAGATCAACAGTTGCTCTTGGTGTGTCCACCATCTTTCTTTGTGGACAGAGGCTTCCTTGACAAGGACACCTACTACCTTCCAAAGAAAGCCGTCTATGGCTTTAGACGCTCGCCTCGGTTGTGGGGAGAGCACAGGGACAAGACGCTGCAATCGCTCGAGATTGACATCCCCAATGAAGCTGGAAAGATCAGTCAAGTGCAACTGACTGCTATGGAGTCCGAGCCGAATTTGTGGCGAATAGTGCAGAAGGATGATAATGATGAAGAAGGGAGCCAACTCCAAGGACTCCTGATGACCTATGTGGATGACATCTTCATCACTGCACCAAGCCGAATTCTCCAAGCAGTGGAAGAAAAGATTAGGTCAACGTGGACGACCTCGACTCCAGAGAGGATCAGTGAGAAGCCGACGAAATTCCTGGGCATTGAGATCATGAAGCAGGTCAATCAAGAGACCCAAAGGGATCGCTGGCTGGTGACTCAACAGTCGTTCATCACCGATCTCTTGGAGCAGGAGTCTGAGGTGCCGAAGCCGAGAAAGATCCCGATAACGAAGGACCAGTCGGTCATGGAAGAAGATGATCCATCACCCACAGCTGCTGAAGTCAAAGGAGCACAAAAGGTGGTGGGAGAGTTGTTGTGGACGGTGACACGGACAAGACCAGATCTCATGTACACCGTGTCACGAATGGGATCAGATGTCCTCAAGGCCACAAGGGCCATTCAAGAAGCAGCTCAACAGGTCAAAGGGTACCTGTGGAGGACCAAGGAAGAAGGCCTCGTTTTTGAGGAAAAGGCCGATGAACAAGCCATCATCCACGTCTACACGGACGCCAGCTATGCCCCGACTTCAGAAGAGTCACATGGATGCAGCATGGTCTTGCTCGGAAACACTCCAATCCTTTGGAGGTCTGGCCGCCAAAGCTCCATCACCCTTAGCACAGCAGAAGCAGAGTTGAATGAAGTTGTTGAAGGCATGACAGCCGGTGAGTCCATTGGTGTGATCATCGATGAAATCTTCGGGCCAACCACTCGCATGGCCTGGACTGACAGCAAGTCCGGACTCATCATCCTCACCACAGAGGGTGGGAACTGGAGAACCAGACACCTGAGGATGAAGTCGGCATACGCCAG